TAACTATTTTAGGAGGTGTCTGTTTTTTTTTTTTTTTTGTTAAAAAGCCTTATGGCTACTATGGCCATAAGGTCCACCCCTAAACCTAACTGTATGGAAGCTTTTTTTTGTTTTTGTTCTTCATTCATTCATTAATGAATGTATGCATTCATTCTTCCAGTTGCAAATGTATTTATCACAGCTGCTAGTTATAAACGTGTTTATATCTCTCTTCTTATATATATTTCCATTTTAATATATTTTAAATGTAATTGCCGTTGTGAAGCCTCACAATAAATAAGACTCAATATGCCAAATCATCTTTAAAATACCATAAAAGTGGAAAGATAAGATTTAAGTCAAAATTTAAGTCGTTTCTCACTGAAAATTTTAACATGGAGCGTTCATGAAAGAAGCAGCGATGTCCAATACACGAATGAATTGAGTTGGAGCTTTTGAATGAATTCAAAAGTTCTTTAACCCACACTCACACCTAATTAATTTTACCCTGCTATGCACCTATCATGAATTTGACGTTTATTTGCAGTATCCGATTCACACAGTAATAATCATTTTTTCCAGATGTTCTCCATTGTCTCGAGGTGGCTGAGGCAAACTTAAGGGAATCTCGCTTTCTCTTTCTGCCGTGTTTGAAAACCAAAGACAGCTGTCTTGCTACCCAGTTAGTCATTGACTTGACAGGCAGCGTGTTTGTATGAAAGCACCTTCTAAGGTAGCTGCCTTCAGACAGTCTTCCAATAATGCCATGTCTAATAATGTACAACAAATTCAAGTCAGCTTTAGAGATTTCCAAGCAAATATTCAGAGACTGCAATGCTTATTTCTCAGTCATGAGTTGAAATAAAAGAAAACGCATTCATTAACTGATTTACTCCTTTCAACCGTTCCTTCAGGCGCCAGTTTTACCACAATTCTTAGCAAGCAATAACCAATCAATATTAACAGAAATGTGTATGTATACTGTATACTTGTGTGCCTTGTTGCCTTCCTACTTCCATATAGGCCTACTGTCAGCGAAGGCAGCGTATTTCAGACACAGCTTCCCTCTCCCTCTCTCCAAAGCTCAAGGCAGCGTAACGTTCATTAACTATTCACTCACTGGAATGAAAGACGCACAGAATGTGCCGATACTGCACTCTGTCAGACTATACATTTTAATTAGGGCCAGATTACTGTAAACGCGACATGATATTTAAATAGAAGCCGACAGTGAAGGGACAGCTTGATGTCGGCCTATATCCAGTGGGAGGCAAAACTCCACACACTTATTAGGACCCGGGTGATTTGGCAATCAATTTACAATCGTTAGATTAAATGACAAGGAAGGGCAGATAATTATAATCGTTGAACATTGAGAAATGAGAGTGTCTCCCTCCTTATTGAAAATAAATTGATCCTAGTATCGGAGTTCCATCGTGTCATGTTGTGAAGAGCCCTTTTAGTGACTTTCCAGATGTCTTTTTTTGTTTATTTTTATCTTCTAAATGTCAGTGATTGACTGCTTTGTTCTTCTCAGTCCACATAATTTCATTTCAACATAAATCTGTCTGCCATACAGACAATGAATTATATACTGAACCCAAAAAATACGCAGAAGTAAAATGATAGGCTGCCATATTTTACATGCAATCGCTGACCTGGTGTGTCTCAATTGGCTGCCTGGTTTCATAATAAGTAATCTGCCCGGGCAATCAGCCTCTAAAAATTCACATAATGCACCATAAAAAAAACAAAAACAGCGAAAAGTATTTACAGTATGTACATACAAATTTTTTTTTACTGTAAATTCAAAAATGGTTAAACATTCTTCACAATATATATTTTTTTGTTTTCCTGAAACACATAAATACTATACATTTTTAATAACCATTCTAGTTATTTGACAATAGAGACATCCACACCACATCTGCAATGACAGCAACATAGAAGAAAGATATTGTTGTAATCACACTCAGAACATTTATTTTTTTCAAATGTTGATAAAAAACATTGACAGTCAATCAAAATGCAAGCATTTAAAGTAACAGGTGACATAATTATAATACAAAGTTATTGTCTGTGGGTGTGGGTAATAATATAGTTATTGTTAAGTCAATGGAAATGGAGGTCAAGCGACCACATAATCATTTTCCATATAATTGAATCAGATATTTAGTTCATAGTATCCTTGCTAATACCAGAATTTGTGTTCACAATATGCTGCTCTCTTGTTCTGTATGTTGTTAATTAGTATGAGACACAGCGCTACATTACCAGAATGGATAGCAATACTCACACAGCAGAAGGTTTTCTGAAGTATTGGGTCATGCCTTTCAGTTTCATAATACTACAGTGGCAGAGGCACAATTTACAGCTCCTTTTATGCAAGTGTAGGAATTTATTTTATTTTTGTATTGCTTTTAATGAACCAAATGGCCCTTCAGCAGCCAGCCACTCAAATAAACAAATGCAGATCTATTGCGCATAGGACTTTTACTAGTCTGAAGTGTTCAAAGGGCTGCCACGAAAACTTGTGTGCAATTTATATTCCCCGGCACACTGTGAAAATTGCACAGATCTTTTTTTTTTTCTTAAGACCACCTATATCACACTTTTAGACTTTTTCTACCTCTACTGCAGCATGTCAGTATCCAGGACTTTTAAATGCTAAATATTTAATGAGACCACACTAAGGCTTTGTGGCTGAAAGCACCTAGGGGTTTGTTTAATCATGATAATAAAAATTAATCAAATGAATTAAATGCTCACAATGTAATTTCAAGTTGAAATTGAATGGCCATATTGTGTCGTCTTTTTTGTGCATGTCTCAGAAATCCAAAATTGTTGAGAGTAAAATTTACCTTACATGTTTTTTTTTTTTTTTTTTTTTTTTTTTTACAAATCTTTTATGGGAGGGGAGGGGATAACTGTTTTATTGTCATGTGTAGGATACTTAAACACTCTTTTGGAGCCGCACATACATTTTATTAAATAATATTAAGACTTGTTTCGGTCATGAATGACTGTTTTTGTTATGAATCGTGTGAGTAAATGATTCAAAGACTCACATTCCCAGAATTATGGGCCAAAAATAGCATCATATGTCAAATTTTAAAGAATCTTTTTGATTCAAAATTGATAAAAAAACAAAAAAAATGACTCACTGAGGTGAATCGAAATTCCCACTAACCACAAGCATTAATTTTACATACAATGGCATTATTTACATAAAAGTTGTAGTATCAAAGAATGACTAATTTTAAGAGTTATGCAAGGTATAATTGAAATAACTAAAATTGCACAATAGTTACTGTATAAATGGGGTTTTCATGTAGTTTTAGCACTTCCACGGTTTAAACCCTGGCCATGCTTATTCCATTTGAATACAGATAATTTATATATTTAAATTGATATTACATTGCATTGAATTGTATGTAAAAACAAAAACACGAAAAGTAAGCTCATATATTTAAAGAAAATATATATTAATATTACTTTTAAATAATTATTGTGTGAAAATTATTTCGATTTGTAGACTCATTAAGACTGTTCCTCAACTGTAACATGATTGTCACAATGGCCAGCAGTTATGCTATTATTATTTAATCTGTATACAGTAGCTGAGAGCAAACAACACTGTGTGGTTGATAGCATCTCTGTTTCTAAACGTATCATTCTACAGTCTAAAATAAATATTTTTTGATTCACATATCGTGATTTTGATATCACATCTGAAAAAAAAAATGTTCCACTGCAGATAGATTTGACTGGAAATACGTTTCAGGTCACATTTATTCTGCTGGTTGAGCACTCAGTGGGTGTCTGGGAGGCAAAGCTTAAAATATGGATCAAAGCCCTTGCTCACTCACCCCTCTGGACCCGATCCACAATCGGAGCACTACACAGAGAGATAAATGCCCACTCGTACTCCAGACCAGCATGCATTGCACTTTTACAGTATATGTGGTTTGGTAGATTTGCATGTTTATGCGTTGTAATCGATTTCTGGTGCCTCTCTGGCCTGTCAAATGACTAATATTGGTCTAGTCTGAATCAACACAATGTCAAAAATCTAAATGACTTTTGTGAAATGACACGCATGATGGTTTTAGCATTCGCCCTGTGCTTGAACAAATTTTTGAGATTTGTGAGCAGTTTTGTATATAAGGACTTCCGATCGTTTTTAATTGAAGCCCGATCTTTCTCAGCTCCTCATTTCCTTTGCACTTACAAACACCTTCACAAGACGGTCAGAGAGCAAGCGTTCATTGGGCCCGAGCATCTTTCACAAGAGGACAGTCAAAGAATGCAATGTTTCAGTCGGCGGAGCGAGACAGCTTCGGCAAGCTGTAAAAACAGGGTCTCGCAACAAGCGGGTCCTTGTTTTTTCCTGCCGACTTGGCGGAGAAAGACAGTGAGACAGAGGTCAGAGAGGCAGCCGGAGGATGGGTCTTATCCAGTGCCCTAATCCTGCCGGGAGCTCTGCCGTTTGAAGTCACATCTGCTGCAAATTTCCCTCTGCCGAGCTCAGGCAGGAGGGAGTCTTAAGTCTGAGGGGGGTGGGTTTCCCTGCTGGTGCTGAGACGCCTCAACCCTCATCTTGGGTCACCTGCACTGGACCTGTATTCACACGGCTCAGTGTTTTATTGTTCTCAGAGGAAGTGCTGAGCTACAATCAGATGGCTGACACTACTGCATTGTGGGAATGATTAC